ACAGGATCTTCTTAAGCAGAATTGATACTTAAAATCTGTCCGCTACCACCGCTACTTTATTACAAGAGTACCCTACTAATCCAGGGACAATAATTTAAAATAATAATCATTTAAAAATTAATTTAAAGATAATATAATATTGTTGTGTAGTCTTTAACAGGCTACTATAGACACAACCAGTTTTATTCACTGAAAGATTTATTCGTCATAAAATTATTACTTCATAATTGTATTCGAGTCTTACACACATGCTATACAGATAATGTAGAGTCATGCATTAATTTGAGTGATGACAGATATTATGGGAGTGGCTTGATGGAGCGCAGGAGATGCAGATAACATGATCTTGACCCTTAAGAAAATTTAAATAATGCTGTCACGTTACAAATCTGTTCAAATATAAAATTAAATGAATTGCTAATTACTACATTGAAATAAAAATGTAAAGTCTGTATAAATATTAGAAATCGTGAATATAAATAATTGGGAATCATGTAAGGAATTCAAATAAAATAAAAACTAAAATAAAAAATTTCATTTATCTATTATAAAATGTATGTAGTTTTGTTCACTTGGCTGTTTCCTTATAAAAGTCCAGAAATTGGTAAAGTTTTTTGTCAGGTGTCTTTTTTAATTATATGATGTCATTACGTTGCTGTCTTGGCACCAGCTAATTGCTGCATTGCTAATCGTGGCTTCGAGTATCGATACTGTCACAGAGGCGAACGCCGTGATTCCCTCTTCCGACCATCAGAGGGCTCCCTCACCCGAATATTGACTCTTACACTCTTACACTACATTTCCCATCAGCCCCCTATCTGGCACTGATCACCTAGCCCAGCTGTAGCCCATCAGCTGGCCTATATAAACAGTCTGTTCCTTCCAGCTCATTGCAAAGTCTTGTTTTACTGCGGTTTATTTCTGAGCATTTTTCTCTGTTTTGCCTGTCTGCTTGTTGTGACCCTGTCTGTACTTTGTTTATGATACTCTGCTACCTGCCTTCTGGATTATCCGCCATGTCTCGGAGTTGTGATTCATTGCCACCTACCCTGACTTCTAGCCTGTTTACTGACGGTTGTGTTTACCCCCCGTCACTGTGTTTGCTGGTATTTGACCATTGCCTGTTTGACCACGATTGTAATAAAGCCTGCTTATGGATCCCACTTTGAGTGATGCTTCGTTACAGATACATAGCCCCTTTTAAACCAACCCATGAACGAGCAATTATCTCAGAGAACTCAATCCAGCCATACTAATCATCAACAACAGGTGCGTTCGAAGAACCGAATTAGCCAGATCCTGATTAGCTCGATGATATCATCTTGGATGTGACATTTCATCTCGGATGTAATAAGCGATGTACGAAGAACGGGCCCCAGTTCTGCTATGGCCTGGTTTGGAACTATTTCTGATGGTGAAATTAAGCAAAAACAGGAAATAAACAGGTACACTACTGCTAAATCAGCTAACCTTACCTGGCACACGGGAGAGTTGCTGGCACAGGTCTACACTGAGCGTTGATGCACGTTGTAGTAGGTACCCCCAAGAGTACATTTGGACCTCATATCCAACCAGAATGTCTGGGTCATACCTAATGGTGGTGGGGTTGGTTTATTTGCTGTACTGGGCGATAGCTTATCATCATCATCATCATCATCATAATTCAGTAAAAACATACTCACCCTAATATTTTTTAAACCAGTGTGCTGTTTTTTTTCTCTGTTGAACACAAAATGAGAATACTATTTTTGGACTCTATTGTGTGTTGTCTATAGTCTTTAAGTTTATATTTACAGATCATTATCGCCCCACCTCCCAAAGTTCAATTTGAGTGCAACTCCTGAATGGTAGTGGAAGAAAATATATTCAGTGACTTTTTGTCCTGTTTGGTGCATTATAGAATGGTCACAATGACATATTATTGTAGAGAAGAGCTACTTCAAACTTTCACTTTTGTGTTCAACAGGGAAAAAAAATACCATATAAGTTCAGAACTTCAAGAATAAAAATGTATGACAATTTTCATTTTTTTAAATTTAAATAAAGATTTGACCAATATCAGCATATACAAGTTAATTTTATACATAAGGAATCAATGACGACAGGCTGCTGAATTATTCCACTTTTTCTATGGTTACCACACCTCAAGACATTGTTCAGATGTTGTATTTCAAGACAATTATCAGATTTTTGTCCTTAAAATACTGTAAGTAGGATTAACTTATGCATCTCATTCAATTTCTCCATTGCTAATTCCAAAACGTAATTTTAGACCTAGTAACGGAGGCTTGAACCGTTGATAACAGCCCTACATACAAGAAAGAATTTCCAAAATATACATTGTTAACCTACTTTCTAAGAATGTTTGTGACCTCTTCAAAAAGCTCCTTCTCATCACTGACATAAGTCACCAGCAGTCCCGTCACACCAGATTTAAAAAGCAATGGCGCTGTGCTCCTGGAGGCTAAAGTATAAATACGACAGGTAATGTTGCAACAAAGACAGATTAAACACTATATAAAATATGTAATCATGCACACTAGGACTAATACTAATGTTAAGACTAACAAATAATCAGGTAAGTCATGAATTATTAAAAAATAATGCACACGCTAATGTGAAGTAAAATGTGAAGCAAAACTTTAAGTGAAGTAATGCAGCAAAAGTGACAATGACATTTACTATAATATCTCATCTCTTTCTGTACTCATCTAGTTTACACTTTAATTGGCATTGTGTAAATTGCAGATGTATTTCACGTGCAAGTCATTTTTGGATAAAAGTATCTGCTAAATGAATACATGTAAAAGTAAATACAGTATGTGACAATTAGGTCAAGACCTGGAAGATTCTGTCCTTAGAATGTCTTTTAACTAGTGCTGTCAAATGATTAATCGCATACCCAAAAAAAGTTTTTGTTTACATAATATATGCGTGTGTACTGTGTATATT